AAATGTGATATCGTCACGACACTTGAAACTTAACAAATTGAAATATAAACTCAAGATTGCATCTTGTATAATTGAAGTGCTTTTCATTTACTCTGATTGCAATTGAACTTCATATTCGACAAGTGTGAGATACATTTGCGTCAGTTAAAATATGAAGTGTTGAAAAGCGTAATTATTCGTAATTATTATTATCTGAAATTATTATTTTCCCTTCAAAACCTCACACATCACCAGACATCGTTGGGAACGTAAGTTAAATGCCAATTGAATAAAATTCACTTAAAGCATCAAGTTATGTGCAGCTAAATAGATTTCATTTTCGAAAACATGTGTTCCAAATGTCACCGGTGACCATCATTGACTTTCGGTGTAAATTGAATTACATGTTTGAAATGCTTGCCACACATTATAGAATTTTAATTAAGATCATTAGCAGTGACAATTTTAACACAATTAACCATTACCGGTCGACCGGTCGACGTTGCGCCCATGGACGCTTTCAACTTGATTTTCATGTAATTGCATTCGATTGTTCTCATGAGCGATAATGGTGTAATGTGAATAAAATTTAACAACAGCCAACAAGAAATTATCAATTCAAGTACATTAACGAAGAGAAAGGCGCGCGCAAATACGCGCTACGCACAACAAATCTTGTTCCAAAGTATCGTCGTTGTCACACTTCCGTATACGTAGTACATGTTCCCGTTCTGCATATTGAATACATCATTTTGTGCGCAAAGCGAATCGAAAAAAAAAACCAAAACACTTGATCCTCATGTGACCTATTACAAGCGACAGTAAGAGCAAAAACAACAATTGTCCCACACCAGCAACTGCGCCAGGGAAAAAAATTTATACGTGCGTATTGGAATAGAAGTGAAATGAAAGGACAGTTTAGTATGTCACAGTGGCCTGTGACATTTTAAATTTGTTTTCTGTGCTAGCCATCCGCGTTATTTGGCTTCCAATTGTGAAATGCGCATCACATCCAAATAGATAGAAGCGGTGACATTTCAAGTATTGGACACATAAAAAACGAGCACAATGAACATGAAATATGCATTTCATATCCCGTCACGTATCAATGTGATTCGTTTATTTGAATCACTTTTGGCATTTTGATGAAAATAATATATATTTTTGTGTTTTTGTTTTTTTTTTTGTTCAATGTTTCGTTTCGATGAAAAATATATGTCGTCCGGAATGCGGCCTATCCGAAGCATAGGAAATTATTATCAATGAATTATCATATTGAGTGATGGAAACATTTTTTTGCTATTTTTTCGATTGCACTTGCAAATATTTGATATTTTATTTTGTGTTACTAAGCACGAAATAGATATTTTACATAAAACAATATTGATTCAGTCAATGGTGAATTTTGTATACAAATAAATCCATTCGTGGCCGGTTACATTTAAATTTCAGCATTTTCCATCGTTAGTAATGACATTGATTGATTTGTGTAATTGCAGAACAATGAAAGATATTGAAAATGGGTAGAAAATATCAACTTTACAGTAGCGATTGTCCTATTTTCATCTAACTCAAAATAATTAGCGATTGAATGTTCAAATCGCTCAATAATGTTACTTTTTACATTCTGCTGAGTCATTTTTTTCTACATCACATACAATTTTCCCTTTTTGAAAAATAATTTGTGCTAAATTCAAGTGATGATAACATTTTGCTGGCAGTAAATCTGTTTAGTCATCTGCGGTTAATTTAAACTTTTCATTTTAACCATGGCCGCTCATTTTAAAGAATTTTCACTCATTTATGATGTCGATTGACCACGTAAAATGGATATATTTCCCGTTAGGTATTGTTTATATAAAGCTAAACAGAATGAGTTCAACTGAACAAAGCAGAGGCAATGGCCTTTTCGTGAATTCTTAAGCTTTCTTCAGAAAAGTGAATCAGTTGTAGGTATATTAAACAGAAAATTCAACCAGCATACGTTTTAAATTGATCTAGGATAAAATTATGTGAGTCATACTGACCCCACCTCAAATAAAGCTGTATTTTGAAGATATTGAGACAATTCATAATTTTTACGGAACTGCCTAAAAAAAATCACAAAAGTGATAAAAATCAGACAAGCCTACCTGTTAATATATGTTTTTATTGTTTTTTTTTTTTATCAAATATTCATTTAAAAAAACAGATATTTATTTCATGGATTTTTATATTATACATATTTGTATTTTCTTTTAAATGACAAACGAGCCAAACAAATTGGATTTCTTTGATGCCCTTAATTTCGAAATGAAAGTAGGTAAACAGAAACTAACCAAAAAGTAGCGTATTCATTCACGCCAATCAAGTAGAACTTTCGGTTGCTTTCGGGTAATCAAGTATTCATCATGGGTTCATCAAGAATCATTTCTGTGCTTCGAAAATGAATTCCTTTCACATCGATATGTTGATGAGATCACCATTTTAATATCTCTCTATCCGGTCATGGAAATCCAGACTGAATGAAGAGATAAGCTGCAACGCATAGAAATACAAAAAACCGATATGGCAATAATCCAATTCATTGGTTGTGAACTGACGAATCATAACCATGTAGTGATTATGTCAGCGGTATCACAACTACAACACAAATATGTACAGTTATTCTTAATCTGTTTGCATCAAGTGTAAATGGATTGTTGATACTGTTTTGTCTGAGTGTGCATCAGTTCGAATGATACAGTATGATTTGTTATCTGTCTATTGCCTTGGCCTACATAATCAAAATGATGTTAGTCTCTCAATTTCTGACGTTCTCGTCTTGCAAACGGATCCAATAATTGGAAAAGTTTTAATCAACATTTTCAACTGAATTTCCGGTCGCTGGCACTGTTGATGATATGAAAAATGTATATCGCTCAACCTACATCATTCGGCCAACAATCAATTCATGTGGCAAACTCAGAAACGTTGGATTTCAATCCAATCGGCTTTGCATAAACTTTCAACAGGTTCTCTACGGTTGTCACGGACATTATTTGTACGCAATTTATATAGATTTGTGATGATAAAATCTAGGTATACGGATCAACAAATTCGATTAGAGAGTCTCAACAGCCTTGAATGAAATGATGATAGGTGATAACATCTTCACTTTGGCGTCAAACTCACATTTGCAAAACGAGATGAAAAAGAAATACAACATCGATAAAAACACCACAAACATCAAATGTGCGTGTGCATCTATCATTCGATTGAATTTGGAATATATTTATCTTCATCACATTATTACACTGCAAGAAGACGTTTGATATGATATGAAGACAAACTAATTATGTACTTCGTTTTCTCTGCTTATTTTTTTCTCTCACTTTGTCGAAAGTAATTAATAACTTTTCGTAGAAAGGACGACTCTTCATAACATATCTTAAATTGATCGACCAATGATTTATAACGGCGACAGCATTAATGTTGACCTCTCCGCTCATTTTCGTCTTTTTTTTTACTCAAATAACTAATTATACTGAATATTATAACAAAATAAGTAAAGTTTGATTCGAACTCGAGAATTCATTGACCTAATCATAAAAATGGTGTCGTGTTTTATGTGGTAAATCTGTACCCGATTCAACAAAAAATCAAGTATCATTAGTCATTGGATACACACACACGCACACATACAAGCAAAGTGGATTCAAAACATTTAATCATATTCGGCTATACGCAAATCCAGCACTGAGGTTTATCTCTCGCTATTTAGTCCGAAAAGTTTTGGTTTCGAAAAAGTTTTTGTCTGAATTGTTATACATTGTTTCAATGTTTTTAAACTGATTTGTAACAAAATTATCCACTTGTAACTTTTATCACAAAATGAGCTTGATAAACAGCATTAGCGATTTAGTTGCGAATGCGTTTGAATGGTTGTTATTGTTAAATTGTACACATAGCTCATGTCGAGCGACGGGGGTGAAATGTTTTGTCACAGCTTGATTGTCATGTATGGCAATCTATACAATTACAATTTCTTAACATGTTTCCCATTTGCCAATGTGGCATGAGTCATAGTAGTTTATATTGTATTTTCAACTCTTTGTCTCTCTCTCTCTCTGTTTATTTGACGAGACGATTACTACTGTGGCAAGCAATTATCATGTTCATTTCAATGACATTTAATATTGTATGTTGTCGTTTCCGATGGAACGTGATTTCACATTGTCGCTCGCTCACATTTATTCACTCGCCTTGCTTGCACACACACACATATACACGCAACGGAGATGACGCAAAAACAAAGCACAATCAGACAACTAACAATTCAACTATCAACCACACATTGAGTACATTGCATTGTGCATAGCTGTAGTGTTGTACGCTGATTTCGTATGCAACTACACTCTTTCAATTCTTATACGTCTTTGCATTGCACATCCTTCGATCAACAGACAACAAGGAACTGAACAAAGAAAACCAATTTCAAGTACACATGTTTTGTGCTGTGTGTGTGGCGAAATGCACAGCTCGACTAAACAAATACTATATGCAAATCAACGTTAGTGGATCATGCATACACAATATTTTTTCCACAACAAAAATCCACTTTATTTCTACGGCTCTGGCTCTGGCTCTTAAAGTGATTTAACCAAATAAGACCAAACAATGATTTGATAAAGTGGCTGCAAACATCCACATGTACACATGTGCTTCAGCCATTTTTCGAATTGCAATATATTCCGAGAGTCATTCTATAGAATATTTCTTGAATTTGCTTTAGGGGTTTTCAGCGAAAAACAAACATAGCTTCTTGAATATATTATACTCTATAATTGGTAGACGTTTTGTAGTGTTTTTTGTTTTAAATTTCGACATCTTTGGTTATTTTTTGAAAATGCATTTCCATTATATAACTTCAATTTTTCCAACAAAAAAATTATTTGGTCGATGATCGATTGAATTTTTTTTTTCCATTTCAGTTTTACATTTGAATATAACCAACATCTCATTCGGTGCACTCACAAAACAGTAGTAGTATAATTGTTCAAATGTATTGGTATATTGCAAATTTAGCAGCGCAGTTGACATTTGGTCCATCGCGCCAAAACAAGTGTCAACTATGCTGTTGTAGTGACGATTGTATGAAAATACCAATGGATATTTTAACAACTATTGGTAAATTTGCAATATACCAATTCAATCGAACAATTCTAGTACTACTGCTTTTTGTGTGTGTGTTGGGTTGATTCGATTGTCTAACAGATTATGTTACGTTCAATGTCACTTACATGATTATTCTATTTGCGAGCGCATGAACTGATTCAAACTGACATTGGCTTGAGAAAGGTAATATTGACATGACTGAAATAAAGTCAAACACATACGAGGCGATGACTGTGGGACCCATTTAATGTGTTAACGGAATCAAAAGCAGCCCAAATAATTCATATAAAATATGTAAATTAAACTCAAGAATTGTTGCGGTAGTTAAAACACTTTTTCCATTCTTGACCGAGAAAATAAATATTATCTCTTTTTACAGAGAAAACATATTGTAAACGACTACGTTGAGTAAATGAAAAATATCATTTTCAATAATAATATGAACGTCTCTGAAATTTTATTATTTAAAGATATTTGAGTCAAGAATCGAAAATTGAATAAAGTTATGTATTATGTACTTGATTTACTGTTTTCCTGACGGATATGGTGAGAATTTGCGCTTGATTGAGTATATAATAATATGATGGTTACATTTGTCATCACAACAGACTGCCATAAAATGTTCAATGAAAATAATAAAATACATTCCGAAGAAGAAAAACAATCAAGTCATATAATCAAGTGATTGATATTTGATAAATTTAAGCCTAATGTTTCCTATCTATAAGATCGTTTTACTTTTACTCTCGATAAATTCACAAATGTCTCGAAAAAATGAAATTCGATTGAAATTCAAAAAAAAAAATTAGTTATCCATATCAATGAACTCAATTTCAGGACATTCTATTTCACTCTTAATCGCTGTGTCATTATGAATGCTTGTAAAATTCACAAAACGAATCTTCGGCGTTTCGGCATCCTCTTCATCTGATGGTTCACTCAAATAGCCGAATTCTTGACACGGGTCTTGTTTCCGATGCGCTTTGTTTGATGGATTTTTGTGAGTCAAGTTGTCGATATTGGTTTTGAATCGCGGTGTGTTTGGGCTGGTGACTATTCTGCTACCACTTCGATTGTTGATGGATTTTCGACGATGCGAACTTCTTTTGGTGTTGTCAACTGGTTTCGCACCAGTATTTTTCAATCTCATTTGTTTTGGCTGCTTCACTGTCTTCTTGACATTCACTTTTTCTTCTTTCTTGAGTGTGTGAAAAGACCGAAAACAATTATAATTTACTGAGGAGCACAGATGAATTTCACATTTGGTACAAAAGGCATGAGTGGACCTGCAATAAACACAAACATTTAATTAATACCACATATTGTTACCGCCAATTGGTTTTCTTACTTTTTACAACCATCCATTTTACATCGTGTTCGAGAATATTTTTTGTCGAACTCAACCCAGTGATTGTAATTGTCGTAGCGTATTTCGGGCTTTACGTCCGCAGATTCTCTCATTTTGCGCACTATTTTTTTCTTTTGTACAACTTTTTTATTGTAAAGTAACAAATTTAATCAAATCTATAACTCAATTATTGAAACTGCTGCTAATGCTTATGTTTACCAACTCGAAATGACAATCGTTCTGAACAGCAACAAAAATGACATTAGCAAAGCTTGAAAATGATGACAGCTGAGCAACGGTCTTCCGATAGGGACAATTTTCAAATTCAAATTTATTAAGTTATTGAAAAAAAAATGGTTCAAACGAAAATAATATGAATTAAATGTGTTTATTTTTGTGCTCCATGTGTACATCAATAATAAAGAAATAAAAATAATTTTATTATTAAAGTTTTGGGTCAATTCTAGTCTATCATTTTATCCTGCAACGTAGCACTAATGATACATTCACAATTCAGCAATTGGTCCATATTGATATTGGTCCACTCATTTTATATAGCCAAAATGGAGTTCATTGAATTATTTGAAAAAAAAACCGCCATAAAAGTCTCTTCGTTCGAATGCTTCGTTTTCATGTATTCGCATTAAATATGAAATAGAGCATTTATATGAGATTTTTCTTCTGTCAATTTGGGATTGACATCGAATTTTTTGTATGAATTATCAACATGCAATAACAATACATCTACTATGAATAGATCTCTTAATTTGACAATCACTAGTTAATATGATTAGTATCAGTGATTATTTATTATTTTTTTATCAAAAAGGTATGGAAAAAATGTGAGCGTAAAAAGTGAATAAAATGATTGACCCGTTTATTGATAAGATTTTCCTCAAAATTAATATACGGTTATTATGTATGCGATGGACATTGTGATAATATTGCAATAACATATTTTCTCTGTTATATCTTCCGTGTTGGAGTATAAAAGGAACTTTTAAAACTAGTTTTTCCTCCATAATAATCCACTTTGAAATGCTGCACTCGCACACCGTATCTGGAGCAATTCCTTGTTAATATTCTCAACTCGATTTAATTTTATTCATTTATGCAAAGTGAACACGGACACGGAGAAATGAAATTTCTCTCTCTTGTAGATATTGGAAAGGAGACAATGTCATGTCCACAGGACGAAAACAATACGAAAGAGTTCGTTCAAAGATGGTATCTTTATCTACTCTAACAAAGTTGATGTGAAACGATTTGCGTCGATTTCAAATATGAGATGTTCAACAGCGGCTTGAAAATGATACAATGTTAAGCAAAAAAATTTAAATAATCTGATGAAAGGAAACTGAATGGAGAAATGCAAATCATTTCTTTTGCCGGAAAATAACAAATCTAAATCGAATAGACGGAAAAGAAAATGTGATGGAAATGCAACCGAAATCAAAGGATTGGTCGACGGAATTCGAAATTTAAATATTTGCTTGCAAATGCAGTATGTTATAGTACGGTAGAAATGGTTTTATTTTCTCAACAAAAGTATGCCATCGGTTCGATTCAAATCGATCGGTTCGATTCAATCGGTATGTTTCTATAACAAATATTTCTGAATGCTTCACTAATTCGGAGCTTGTTAGCAAATTTATGCCTTTGTTCGATTACATTTTTGTCTGACTTATCTTCATGTTCTCACATGTTGGTTACGCATTACGATGATAATTTTCAACATTTCACCGTGAGAACTGGCACATTTGTGCCAATACGACTTGGCCACAATATTAACAACAACTTCTGTTGCGCCAGTTTGGAACAAGATCCACTTGCCAGGACTTTCATGGGCATCGCATTACATGCTTATTACACAATGTTCAATTGTAAAAATCGATAAAACCCTGTTCGTTTCATTCTCATGCGCTTCCAATGCATAATATACATTCAATAAACTGAATTTCCTTACTTTTTGCATTGAACCACTAGTTCGGTTGATACATTTTCCACCATCATTTTCGTTTTACTTTTTTTTTTCATTTTGCTCTGTCATATAATTGCAACATTGAAAGCATCGAAATTGCTGGACTCAATGGTAAAAAGTAAAGATCGATACATTCAAAAATTACACCGACAACACAACGGACCAATCTGTTATTATAGAGCTCTTCGCCAAAAAGAGAATGCCAACAAAAATAATTTTGTAAAGAAAGTCCAAAATGTTTTCATTCCGAGAGAGAAAGAGAGAGAGAGTGTGTGGTTCATACAATTTCATCCACCAACGCGCTTACTACTTGTAATCAAACCCAAGAGAATCAACTCTTGCTTACAAAGCTTTGCTCTCAACAACCAAAACGGACATATAGTGTTCGACTGTGAACAGATACAGAAACCGTAAACGCCATTCCCTGGCTCCTTCTCTCCGATCGACAAACACAATGCAAACAAGTGATGCACCATAAATACATATGTCATGACTGTGTTCATGTAGAAGTTCATGCAATCGGTTCGGTGCATCGTATTGGAAATGAATATTTATCGCACAATTTTCGGTACGGGTGCGAGAAATGAAGCAACCAAAAGAAGAACGGACGACACAACACACACACACACACAACTACCAAAAAGTTACATTCGAATGGGATGTTGTTGCCTTTGCCATTGCCTATAATGTTGTCGAACAGCACACAAGCACACACACACACATAGTATTCGCAGTTGCATTTTGGTAACATCCGAAACCATGTTAAAACAACACTTCGAATGCATTACAACATGCTAAGCGATAATAGAAACGAAAATACTTATTGGAACATATTTTGGACGTTGGCTCATATTGCAGCTATATGTATTTGTTGAGAGAACTTTATCGCTTGCTTTACTCTGTTTTGCCTGATCCGGAAATGTGCTTGTGCTTGCTTCCACATCTTAACTATGTGTGTGTGTGTGTCTCCACATCTCTTCCATGGAGTAGAGTATTCTCTTTCTGTATTTAAGGCTATATCAAACCGTAAAATGTCGGAAACAAGAAAATTTTACGATTAACCATCACCGAAACAGAAACTTTATTGTTCAACATTCACCAAATAACAACCATACGGTAAATGTTTGTATGTATGGAAAATAGTTGCAAGCTAATGATACAATTCTGTCATGTTTGCGTTTCTCATTTTAGTTTAAGATAATTCGCAAAGATCAATGTACCTTCTTCTCTTCTGCGTTGCACATCATCTTGTGCACGTTTTTCATATATATATTGTCATAAAGTCAAATTCAAAATCCACCTTAAAATCACCATTTGATCGTATCAGATTAGTAGATGTTAGGTCAATTCGAACGGCTTTCTGCAGATAAGATATAAGTTGATATAAATTATTGATCAACCGATATCGAGCTCATATATAAATTCCATGTCATATTTTTGGATGGCTGTTCAATATTCTGCAATAGTTTGTGTCGCCAGTTTTGTTATTATCGTTCGAAAATATAAATATATGCCAACGTTATTGGTGTGTTATCAAAATTCAAATAACAATTTTAATGATAATACTTTTGGAGTCAATCGTTTTGATTGAGTTGAAATAACTGACTTGGTGAATGAAAACTTTTCAAAAACTCCAAATATTAATTAAAACATTCTAATTTAAAACGTTGGCAAAACCCACAATATTTTCTAAATTACTGAAATTGAAGTTTGAGTTTCAAAGCCAACGAATTGAAGTATATCAACATTGACCGGAATTTTTACTCACCATTCGGCTACAGCCACATACTGTGCTTAAGTTCACATAAAGAATTTCCAAACTAGACTTAATAGTTTAGCCATTTACCATACAAAATGAATAGCTTTAATTTCTCGAGACTGAATAAATAAGATAAAAACAGATGAAAGTGAGAAATTTGGAAAATTTGTCTCATTTTTTATAATTTAAAGAATTGAATAGGGAAGGTGACGATTTTACGTGGCTTTACAAATAATTACATGCGCATAATATACGCACAGAAACTTTGCTCCGCTTGCACATTCAATCATGTGTGTTTTTTCATCCATGAGCAAATTGCCATCGGCTCAACGACCGTAAGTAATTCTTTAAAAAAAACTTTTGTCAGCTTTGTTGTGAGTTTTTTTTTAAACTGGAACCATGGTAAAAATCATATATGAATGGTGACAAAATTAGTTTTTCGCATACAAAATATTTAAGGGTGTTTCATTGAAATGCTATTGGCGAAAACAAGTCCGCTGCGCTGACAAAACACCAAAACTTTTTTAATGTGATCAGAAATCGAGAGATTTGTTTCTTTCTTTTCGCATCCAAACTAATGCAACTACTTTTTTTTCGAAATCACCGTACAATAAACAACGCACAAAAAAGTTGAGAACCAAAAGTGTTGTTGGCAAATAGCATAAATCTATAGGAAAAAGTTTGGGGCACAAAAGTTAGTCGGTCAGCTGACCAAAAGAGTAAAAGTATGCAATCATTTATTTCTCAATCTAAAAACGATTCTCTTTTATGATGTTGACGAAGCAACACGTTAACAACCAATTTATATGCACAATAATGCAAATTAGTTTTTGGACAATTTTATGGTGTATGCAGATAGCCAGAGATGAGACCAGATCCTCGATGAAGCCCTCAAATCCATGAAATAAAATCAAATAAGTTTTTTCATGGCGCAATTTCATCAACAAGTTTATCAACATATGTCAACACCCATCTTTAGAATGGACCCAAGTCAATGGTCAACACCTGCAACACGGAAGTCAAACTATTTTAAAATAGATTCAAATATTGTTCATGACATAGAAAATCCAGTTGAAAAAGTTCTATACATCAGCCAGTGTAAAGGGCATTGGCTTGCCACGATGAACAAAACTATTGTTTTATATTGTCAAATGATGATGTCTGGCATCGAAACTACTTTCATCTACATCCAAATTGTATTTTTTTGCATCCAGATGTGTGTGATGTTGATATCAAAGTGTCACATACAATAACAAGTTTAGACAAAAAAAGTTTTATTGACTATAAAATATTATGTGACTGAATGATTGAAAAAAAAAAACTTTTTCAGATTTTAAAACACTGAATATTAAATTGAATTTTACTCGACGGTTTTTTCATTACTCTTATCCAGTCGAGTTTCGAAAAAATCGAAAAATCATTGAGAGAACCGCTTTATCTAGGCGTGTAATTAGCATCAGGCCTTGGAATTTTATTATGAGTA